TTTTTAATAAATAGACTCAGAATCAAAACCAAAATGAAATTATTGCTGCTATAATCAAATAGGTTAGAGAGGCACAACCATTGGTTATTCAAGCCGACGTAATGCATGAAGAGATGGAAACATGTGATCAACTGGAATATACAGCTAAAAGTATTCCATTACTGCTTCATCAGGTAWTAATTCTACAACCAACAATTGATAAAATCAATCAGGTTTAGTTGATCCTATATACCTTGTCATACATCTTTAAGAACTATCAAATACCCTTAGGGGTTAAGGTGAMTGGGAAGGGATAGAAGGGACTATTACACTATTACTTTTATTAATATAATATTAATTACACAATTAGTTGATCCCCAAGCTTCCATTTCTGATTTTGCTTTTAATAAAATGGTTAGGTTGGGGGGAGGGGGGTCACTAGCCTCCCACGCAGACATTCTAATAAATAATRATTATTACTAAGGGTTGTCACGTAACATTTTGTGATATCCCTAAGAAYATCTGTGTAGTAGGCTAATTGGGTTAATGAAGCTAAACAAATTTTCTCAAATTATTATTTTTTGCTGTTAAAGATCTATAGTAAGTTATCAGGTGTTGGATATCTCCAGCATTTTATTGGCATTTGGCCATCTTCTGAGGTCTCAGATCTTGATTGACAGAATTAACCATGGAAACCCCCATGCACCTGAAGTTGCAGAGAGTCTGTAAACAATATTTCTAACAAGTTATGGACAAATTTTAGTTCTTCACAGACAGGATAGAACATCTTGTTCAATGTAAACACATGCACATGCTGAGGTGGGCACGGTTCAATGAACATTCCAAAGCAATGGAAAATCTCTACCCTGCTTATCAGGAAAGGCTAAGGTATGTAAATAGAGTACAAACAATAATAGGGTGCTGAATTATATTGTTTCCTAGTGCTATTGCTAAATAGCGTAAACAGTACTGCACGCTTTTGGCCCGGAGGGGGGGGGGGGGGGGACTCGCCTATATTCACTATACGAGTACATGCCGCCAAACAGGGTATGGTTTTCAGCTTTTCTACTCTGGAACAGGGTATATAAAATCATGCTCGCTCTGGGACAGGGTATATGAAATAAYGCTCTCTCCTCTCTGGAACAGGGTATCCATTTTTGCAATACCAGAGCAGGTTGTGATTTTCAGYGATCTTGCTCTGGAACAGGGTATGAATTTCAGGGATTTTACTCTGGAACAGGGTCAGGGTTCAGTGGGCTCAGCRGCACATCCCTACCCTAAACTGGCAAGAGTACCCCCCAGGGCTTTTGGTGGCTTTTTTGAGGTGGTCAAAACAAATTAAAAAAGTAAAAATTRATAAATGAAGCAAGAGAACGAGAGCTTTTCACCAGAGTGACCATCATGTTGTAATGATGTCCTCAACTAGAAACAGTGTATTTTGTAGAAATATTTCTGWGGGGGGTAGAGTAGGGCATGTTTGCATATTCTCCCCCACCTCCCCCCTCTAAAAAGGTTTCTTGCATTTCTGGCAGTAACATAATGGAGGAATATCATGATACAGTATACCGAGCAAGAAGGCTGGCTGTTGCATGTGAAGCAGCATTGGCAAATAGTGGGTCTGCAATGGATTCAGTGACAATAGAAGATCTGTTGATTTATACAAGATGGATGGTCTGCCAGATGCATTCTGTTAAAAGGATCAACAATTTTTTGAGGGTAAGTGAAATGCACTTAACTATATAATGACATAAGGAAGAATGGGTGTTGTAGCAGTGGTGAGAGCAGTTTCATTCTCAGATTCTGCATGGGCAATATTGGGCTCACAACTCACAGGAACAGGTTCTTCCATGGTAAGGCTGATATATATATATATATATCTATACATAATTTCTGTTTTTAGGCTATGGCTCTAGAGATGATGATCACTGTTGTAGTGTTCATTGTCTCTCATAGCCTGATAGCTTGATTTTTACAAAAGCGATTACCTAAAAACTGTCTGATCTCCAGCCTAAAAATAGATACAATCTCAGCCCCCACCAAGGTAAGGGTCCTGGGGCCCTGTCCTGGGCTCAGGGCCCCAGTGGCTCAATGCACAGAACCACCAATTTGTTATGTCCCAAACATTTCAAAGCTGTAATACTTCTCATTGATTATTTTTCTGGGTGTTTTGTAGATCATAGAATGGCTTCCYTCCATGCACAAGAACAACATCAAACCACAAGAAATCGAAAAAGAAGAAAAACCAGTWGAAGTTGAACAAAAGCCATCGGCTCCACCATCCAGAGCGAGAGGAAACTTAAAAAAGATTTTGAGTCAAGTGTCAATCACAGCTCACCTTCATGTCTTGAGGCCAACACCCCAGCCTGATGCAARYCTCCCACCCCCTCCCCCTCTCAGTTTATCTGCATATCAATTAGTATCAGCCACTAATCCATCTGTTGCTGCCGCAGCTGCTGCATCAGGGGGAGGTCTGGCATCAAATGAGATTCACTTGAAGCTTCCACTACATGAGACGTCACTGCAGAAATTGAAGTCTTTGATGGAGTTCTTTATGTCTTGTTATGCTATTGATATGGTAAGCTATGGTAACAGGGTAGATGATGGCTAGTAAACACTAGCGTGGTAACAGGGATCCATGCACATGTTTGTAGGGAGGACGTGAAAGCTTAATTCAGTAGAAAGTGTTGCCATTTTCTTCATCATGACAGCAAAGTGGGAAGCGGTGGGGTGAATCACCTACCCTATGTAGAGCATCGTTAATCTTGTAAAATGCGATGGAATTTGTTGTTATTTTGCACTGGAAAAATGAATTCGATGCTCGGGATTACGACGTTGGTCTGCGAAAATGGAAAATATAATCATTGTCGTTGTATCATCTATAAAGTTCATTTTTGTGGCACGAATAATTCTGCAAAATATTTAGGTCGGGGAAACGTTATTAGGTATCTCTCCCTACCAGTAATGGCAACCCTAAATCCGCCCATTTTTGGCACCCTTTTACGACCGATTTTTCGTATCTGCACCAAGCACTTTCCTGGTTGTTTTTCAAATGTCCTCATGTTGTTTTCCTGTGGATTTCAGGAGATAAACCAAGTAAACACACATGCAGATGAAATGGACTTGTTCACCATGGTAACCCGACGATTCAAGAAGGTGTTTTCCAAACAAGAGCAGCTACGAACCTTTCCTACATACGATGCCTCAAAGGAGGTGAGATAAAGACCGCGCAACGCATCGTTGGATGAGAGGCTTCTCTCTATTATGTGTAGCTATTACTTAGAGGGTTTTATCTTTGTTCTCCGATTCTAAATTTCAGTTTGATTTGGCGTCGAGCGCTTTTACGCATGAGCCTTTGATTGCTCAAGGAACTGAGAAATATTGCGCTATGGACGCAAAAAAATCCGATTTATTTTTTCCAATTATAGCTTTAGGATTTAGTTACCCTTATAGCGAAGCATTCACCCTTCTCACAATGGCTGACAAGTGCACGAAAACGAGGTCACCCAGTCATTATTTCACGATAAAAGATATAAAATTACATAAAATGACTTTAAAGAAGAAAAGCATAAAAAAAATACCTTTGTTTTGATCTGAATTAGCGCTAACAGCCTTTATTTTGAATGAGCAGCTTTGTTCAACCTTGCAAGATGACTGGGTGACCTCGTTTCCGTGCGTTCATCAGCCATTATGAGAAGGGTGTATGGAGGCGGGTAAAGTGCGCACCGCCTATTGAACTCCTAGAAAATCTTGCGCATGCGCAGGTCTTTTCGATTATGAATACGGATGGGTTTTTTGCCAAATTTTGTAAATACGATTCGATTCTGTCACCAAAAATCTTCACAGGAGCTTGGCGATGCCAAAATACGAAGTCAAGGTGTACTGTACACGTTCAAGCAAACATCAAACTGGACTCCTTTTGTTCAGCTCAGGTAAAATTACGACATATTTTCTTCCCTTCTCTTCTCTTCTCCTCCTTTCCTTTAATTTTCTTATCTTTTTTTACTTTTCCTTTATATTCGGCAAATAAAATGTAAAATATATCTGCAATCTACAGTAGAGGTCCATAGTAAAGCTGTTACGTATACTTTTCCGCCATTTACAGACCTGAGAGAGATGCAAATCAAATCAAGGTCATGTCAAAACTGAGGCAGGAAGGACAAATTGACGAGGTAAATACGTAACTTGAAAATACAGACTTTACTTTTTTTCTTACAGTTTTTTATTTACAGGATAACTTATCTTTAAAAAACTATGACCTTGCTCAAATATCTTTTTCTTTAAACTATTCCAGCTTCTGAAGTCGCATGCTCGATTCCTTCACGTTCAAGACAGCACGGTTAGTAAAGTAGATGGCTAATAGCTTTTAAAATACTTCTTCCCTCTTCAGGTTTCTTTTGACTAGCTTGGGTTTTTTTTGCGCTGAATGTACAAATGTATTTCAAGTCCAATCCACTAAAAAATAGAGCAGTTTTTTTTTATTGAGTGGGAAACGTCTGGTACTAACAACTTCCAGCACGTACAACATTCATTGTTTTTAACTAATTCATGTGAATATCCAATCACAGCTCGTAATTACGGTTAAATAAGGTATTGATTCACCGTGGCTACCATACGAAAACTACTTAAATCCAAATGTAGTGCCGCGACATGCTTTTTCATGTACGTAACAGACTCGACTTCCGCGCAAAAGCTAGCCTGATGGTATTAAGTCAACAGAGTTTTGATCGTGCTTTCAATTACCTATTGCAGCGTATTCTTATTGCGTTGAGAGAACACGCCAAGGCTGTGATAGACCCACCTATGCCGTTACCAGCCTCGGTCACTACACACAGAACACAGAACGACACAGCGGCCGTCTGGAAGAAAATATTCAAGTATGCATCAGCCAGGTAAGGCATGAAGATGTTGAACTTTCAGCTTTAGAGATCCCACAATTTTTTCTAAAAAGAAGATTTTAAAGACTTTCAAAGCAGAAAGCTATGACGAAGTTCATATGCGTTTTTCCGCCATTTTGTTCTCTATGGTGTCATGGAATGTTTCGCGCGTGCGAAGCTTATTTGAGCCGCTGCACACCGCTTTTGATTGTCCCTGTCTTGAATCTGCTTTTTGAGCCATAAAACTTGCTTTRCTACCAAATTAGAGGGAGGTGTATTATTTATTATCGCATTTTATATGTATTTCTTAAATACTTCCTTGCATTTCACTTACAGTTTGACGCGTGAAGACGTTCTAGACTTCGATTCCAAAGTCACCGATGATGAACTTGGTGTGGGCGCCAGCAGTGGCGAGTTTGATCTTGGGTCAGCGGTAGAACTACTTGGTTTAGAGGATGACGATGCAAAAACACAAGCCAATATGTTACAGGGTGCATACATGTCATTCCTWCTCATGAGACACCTTCGACTGAGAGACCTACAGAGAACCGTAAGTTGCGTCACTCACACGTTAACGCCTCAGGAATATTTGAAAGCCAGGCTTTCACAAACTCTTCACGAAATGCATCATTGGACGCCTTCAATCGTCCTCCAAATCTTCAAATGTTATGAATACTATGAAACGAGCTCTATGCTGGACAGTAGCAAATCAAGGCATTCTAACTCACAGATCGAACCTTGAAACAACCTCTGGGCTGATCTAAGTCAGGGCACGGCCAACTCACTGATGAAATTCCATCAAAAACAAAGCGGCAGCGAAAATCCAGTAACATTATTGTCAGGAAATTACGTAAATATCAAACGAAGAAATAAACTTTAATTGAAATAAAATTTACCTTTTCAGTGTCTTGGAATTCTGAACTATTTCCGTTCCCTCGAACGCACGCTGACCATCAACAATGGCGGGCTCTCTCTAGAAGGGGGCAAGCAGAAGCCATCGAAGTAAGAAAATATGGTTTAGCGAAGTTTATTTGCATTTCGTTATTCGATTCATCTGTTCTCTCATTCATCCATCCATTCATTCATGTTTTTCTTTCTCCCAGACATCAAGTGTTCCATGGTGCTGGTATTTCTGGTATTGGTAATCATCAGTATGCTCACAACACTCCTGCTGACTACAGGTAACGTAAGAAAGGTCTAACAGGGGAGGGGTGAGGATCGGAAAGTTGCAAACATGACCACGTAGTATCACCTAACTATTCATTGTTCCCTGGGGCTACCTGGCCCCACCCCCACAGGGGTGATCTTGATGAGGGTTAGGATCCCCTGGAAGGAGTCTTTCTTGGTGTAGCAAGCTTTATTGTATTATGCGTTAGGTTTTTTGTTTTGCAGGGTTTTGTTTTGCTCTAGCTGGCCAAGAAAGTATGAATTATACTCTTGCTCTCATCCATTTGGCCGGAATGAAGCAAATCGCGATGGCTGAACTTAATCAATGAATTTTCTGTTTTTCAGAATTGAACAAGCACAATTTATGGAATTCTCTGAGGTACTAAAATTCTTGTACTTCTGTGTGCTTTTTCGTTTCTACCAGCCTTAGCCAATCAKCGAAGACTTCATATGAGTAACAGACTCAGTATTTCTTACTGCGCARCCTTTAAACGACATTTTTTACTTGATAATTAGCCAAGAAAATGGAGAACATGAATTTTGACCATAAYGCTTTACGCACCTAGATTCGCAATCGCCTGGTCGCAAAGCACTAAAACCTTTGGTAAAACATGACAATGCATGACGTAATGATCAAACTTTATATTCTCATTAGGTCGAAAATCACGACGGCTTCTACAGTACAGAGGAGGGCCGTATTCACACACAAGACCAAAGAGGTTATTACGTTGTTTACGATACAGCGTTAAAAGACTTCAAGTAAGTGACTTCCAAAGAAAAAAACCTTCAATATTTTTTCGATGCCCTGAAGAAAGGACCCTCAATTTTTTTCGATACCCTGAAACAACCTTTGGACTGGTCAAATTCTACTCGCAAGAAATGTCGAGTCCAGAAATGGAACTCAAGAYCCGAGAGGTGAGAGCACTACGCTTCTCTTTGAGTTCGAACTTGGGAAAGTGTGCGTGAGCGCAGTTGAATGCAATAAGTAACTACCGCGCTCTCA